CAGCCGGGCCCCTCTGGTCCTCTGCCGCAGTGAGGCTTTCCAGGGACTTTCTGAATCGGAAAATAAACGCTCTTTCCCTTAAGTTGTCCCAACAACCCCAAGCATAACGCATCCAAGGAAGGACCCGCGTTCGGGACCCCTCTGCCGTGTTGCCTCAGGGCTTGCTGAGCCCCTGTTGGCTCCAGATCAGATTTGCCCATTAGCTCTGTGGAGTGCGAGTTGTGTGCATGTGTGCAGGAGCGCAGTTGTCTCCCTCCCTCCCGCCTGTGCACGGGACGGGGCCCCAGCTCCTCGCTGAGCGGCTGTTCTGTCGTCTCTTTCAATTCCAGTGTTCCCTCCATCAATCTGACCAGCTGCAAGTACGAGAGCGGTAAGTCTGAGATGCTGCAGGGTGTCCCTTTGGATCAGCCCACCGACGGCAAGCTCTTTGGGTGCCCACTCAGCCAGGGAGGAGCGCTGGTACCGAATTTCCACTGCACAGCCGCTTTTGGTTTATGTATTTATTGGTTGCAAGCGACTTGGGCCCCTGTGAAACATACGGAGTTTTTCATGCTTTGGACCCAGGTGCCCCTGGTTTAAAGAGATACGAAATGTGCAACAGCAGTGCAAGCCCTCACCTCCCCATACGTCTGCATTTGCCATACATCTGCTAAAACTGGTGAGGGTCTAGTTAGGGGCAGTTACAATGCAAGACTGGTACCTGTGCTTGGGGAAATGACGTGAGAGCTCTCAACTGTTTAACGTAAAGCCAGTGATGGAACAGGCAGGATCGGTACCCGGAACCTCTCCATTTGCCATGCATCTCCAGTGACGTGCTCCAGGGAGCTGGTCCCCTCTCCTGCCTTGCTCGTCTTTGCTGCCACAAGCCATGTCTTAAAAGAACAGACTCCTAGCTTTTGATGGATATTATTAGCCAATTTGCTAATGACTATTCTAGCAGGGCAACCACATTTGCATTGTTGAAGGTCACAGCCTGGTCAGCTGTGCGAGGATACAGTTTTTATACAGAGGGACAGGTGCTGTGTGTTTCACCTAGGGCCGTGCTCAGGCAGTTTGGTGACGGGAGGTGGATGGGGACCCGCAGCAGGAGGTGGTGTAGCAGCGCGGGCACCACAGGAACCAGAACCGTTTCGCAACAGTTCCTAGCGTGCGCTGACTTTCATCATCTCCCCGGCCCTATGAGCGGCCAAATTCAAAACTGACACTAACACGAACCATCCCAGCAGCAACCTTCTGCTCCAGAGCTTGTGTGTTCTGCTGCCAGATAGCTTTTGATTTTGAAGATGAAACTCGTATCTTCAGAAGACTTGTTTCTGCCTGTGTCGTGTCAGACCCATGGCGGATTCAAGCCTGCTGTAGTTCAGGAGGTGCTCTGGGACCCCAAGGCATGCAGACTTAGGGGGCTGATAGCTCCCAGTACACCTGCAGCTAGAGGCTGGGGTGAGTTTAGCCAGGCAAAGCTTGTGTTTCTGACACCTCCTGAAGGGTCCTACCAATACCTTGCATCTCCGAGAGTGGAATTGCAGCCTGGAGAGGTTTGTTCCACGCTCCGTCCCTGGTTACTTTGGGGATTTAACAGTCCCTGGTACTTATATCCCCTGCCTGGCCCCTTGTCATCTGCTTGCTTTGGTACAGTGCGGCGGGCAGCACAGTGCTGCGGGCTGAAAGAAGCGGGAGAAAACGAGGAGTGGACAGTGTATTGGACGGACTACTCGGTCTCTCTGGAGCGCGTCATGGAAATGAAGCGGTTTCAGGTAAATACCCCCATGTAAAGGCTGCCAAGCAGGAAGAGCTCAGGAGGGAGGGTGAGACAGGGGCTGTTAATGGAACAACGTGTTGCAGAATGAAACAGAAGTGTCCAAACTAGCACCCGTGCCCCCTTCTCTGCATCGGTTCCAGAGGGCGCAGGTTCACAAGCCTTTACTTCTGTTGTGTCTCTGGTACGATGCCATCAGCAACGCTTTGGCAGTTAGTAGTGTGAATTGGAAAGCCGCCAACCCCTTTAATGTAGCATGAAATAAATGGTTCTTGATGACAAGCGGCTCCCTTCCTGAAGCTGTGATATTTAGGGAGGGAGAGCTTCAGGGCTGAGATGGAACAAGCAGATAAATCACACTGGTGAAGTTCAGATAAAGCAGTTGTGGCATAATCTTGTCCCTCAGCAGAGGTTCAAGGCAACCACAGGCCCAGCTTCCTGTTCTGCGTGCCAGTTTCTCTGCATGTGGGCTTTCCTCGGGTCCCGAGGAGGATCCCTGCTGTTCCTTTGTTGATTCTGGTTTTTGTCTGCACCTCTTTCAGAAAATCAACCATTTTCCAGGCATGATAGAGATCTGCCGTAAGGACTTGTTGGCTCGCAACCTTAACCGCATGCTCAGGCTCTTCCCCAAGGAGTACAATATATTTCCCCGCACTTGGTGCCTGCCAGCTGAGTGAGTGATACACATTAATGCAGCTGAGAACAGGGGTATGAAATTAGGAAGTGGGAGCCTGTATGCTTGACAGCCAGAGCTGGGATGGGGGGGGGCTCTCTGAGGTCTTGGTCTGGGCCTTCGTAACCTTCCCGGGAACTGAACGGGGTGTTGAGACACTTTTCTAGTTTTACACATCTTTAATTCCTATTAGACTGAATTAGCCCGTGGAATGGCATCCTCTGCGATGTCTGCCTTGCTGCTGGGCAGACTGTGTGCCAAAGGGCTAAATCTTGGGAGAGGGACCCACCCGGAAAGCCAAAGGGCAGTGGGCAAGTGGGAAGTGTAAATCTGTGTTTCGGTGGAAGGTCTCTCTGCAGCTCTGGGTGAGCAGGAGAGGCAACTGCAGGGCAGCATCGCAGGATAGTGGGAGCGTGCAGGTCACTATGTTAATACTTACACAGTTAGATGTAAACCATCACTGAATTACTCAAGCTTTGGGGCAGACGGCCTGGCTTCTCTGATCATATACAGGCAAGCAATGATAGAAACGTAGCTGAAAGAGACCAAAGAGCACTCGAAGTTTGGGTGGTTGTAGGGAGACAAGATACCCATTCTTAGACAGATTTTATTCTTACCATTTCCTGAAGACCTCGAAGTAGGGCTCCCATCACCTGTTCTGTAGCTGAGCTCTCCTCATGGTTAAAATGATTTTCTTAATATTTGACCTAAAGCATCTTTGCTGAAATATCACCACTTAGTACTTCTCCTGTTTGCACTGGCCTTGGAGAACAGTGGTTTGCTGCGTTTTGCTAGTAGTGTGTCATGTACAGGAAGGCTGTTGCCACATGTCCTCCCAGTCTTCCCATTTCTGGAGAAGACGGACTTAGTTCTCTTACCTTTCTTTCCAGGCTGCATTTCCCAGAATCGGATTGCTCTTGGCACTGGTTTTGGGGATTTGTCCTGTTTGCCTCTCTCTTTTCCTAAATGTGGTGCCCACTAGAGAGACAGTGCTTCTCCATCTACAGCAAAATAACTAATTGGCATATGGGCTTGACTCTTCAAAGCACCGTACTCCCACTGGAGCTGCTCTTGAAGATCAGCCATGTAACGTGATAGGCGCGCTCAGCTCGCGAGGCTCTGCACCCCGCTTAGAAAGCTCTGGCCGTGGCCTCCTGCCTGCTTGCTGATGAGCTGGCATAAAAGGAGATGTAAAGACTTGTGACCTCCTCCTCCTTTGTAGCCAGGTCTTGTTTATTTTCTCCTGCTCTCTCTGTGACAGCAGAGCCAAAATCTTACTGGCTGCTGTACGCACAGTGGTGACCACTTCCTATGAACCTCCCGGTAGAGGTGGAGATGTGTGCAAGTAAAAGGTGCAACCAGGAGAGCTTTGTCAGGTCACACAAGGACCAATTCGTAACTCATGTAGATCAGGGATATGGGTACTATTCCTCTGCTGCAGAAGTTTCGTCTGTACTGGCCCGCCGCACCATAGTTTGAATACCTAACTGGGTGAGTTATGGGAGAGTTCAGAGGCTGGTTTTTTGCAGCTTGTAACAGTCACCCCTTCCTTGCACAGCTATGGAGATTTCCAGGCCTACAGACGTGCGAGAAAAAACAGAACATTCATCTGCAAGCCAGACAGCAGCTGCCAAGGGAGAGGTATCTTCATAACACGTAATCCAGAGGAGATCAAACATGGAGAGCGTATGATCTGTCAGCAGTATATCTCTAAGGTAATGGGGACAGTCTCGAAATACAGGTGGAGGATTGCAACCTCCTAGCTCTTCCAGCATCCCGCATCCTCCTTATGTCCTTTGCCCTACGTCTTCCTGGATCTGCCAGGGGCACCAGGGTGGCTGCAGTGCAGCAGAGGCACGGCAAAAGCTTGCCTTTCTCCTCGCTGCTGAGCTGCCAAGGAGCGGCACAAGCAGTGCAGATAGAGCAGCCATCCTCAAGGAGTCAGCAGCACGCCTGGCAATGTTTCTTTATCTCATGCTTGCTCCTGCCTTTTTTCTCGCAGCCTTTCCTTATTGATGGCTTTAAATTTGACATGCGTATCTATGTGCTGGTCACATCTTGTGACCCACTGAGGATTTTTGTCCACAAGGAGGGTCTGGCCCGGTTTGCCACCATGAGGTACATCGATCCCAGCAGCAGAAACCTGGTAAAAAAGGGAAGTTTCCAAAAAACTCGCATAGTATCTGTAGGTGTTAGTCCCTAATTTGTCCTAGGGGCATTCCAGACCTTGAAAAGACAGGGACTGGAGGGTTTCATGGGACCCAGCTTTCTTCTTTCCTGTTCTCCCCTCCCTCTGTACCTCTTCCTCCTCCTCACAGGAGGTATTTCAGGAGTGTCTGAAGTAGATCTACTCCCAGGCCCCACATTTGGGCTGTTTACTGGCATTATCACAGAATCATGGAGTTGTGTTGCTTGGAAGGTCTGGAGTCCAACCTTCTGCTCAAAACTGGGTCAACAATAAATTCAGATCTGATTTCTTGGGGTTTCACCCAGTCAGGTGTTGAAAACCTGCAAGGACGGAGACCCCACGGCGTTTCTGGGCAACACTCCTACTGCTTCTTGCCTTTATGAGCGTTCTCAAGTCCACACCATTCCTTGTCTGCCTGTGCTTCAGGTGGAAAAGAGGGACCTGGGGATTATCTGGTGGTACTGGAACAGCCTGGGAGAGACAGGGAGGAGAACTGGGAAAGCAAGGTGCAGAGTATGGCCGTGCCCATCTCCAAGCAGGGGTGTGTAACCTGTAAAATCCCAGCAGAAGATGGACCGTAGTGTTGGGTTGCTGTGCTACGGTCACGGGCTGCCTGGAGATACCCCGGCCTTCTGGCTATCTGCCCGCTTGTCCCAGAGCTGCGTATGTACATGCCCTCCCTCACTCTGATACGTGCATGTCTTGGAGCGGTCGTCTGCTTTGGGTGAACAACGGAAGAGGAAGAATCTGCAGAAATTTGCTGCAGCTTCTGTCCTGAGGAGTCCCTTGTTTATCAGTGAGGCCACGGCTGGAATGGCATTTGTGGAGCTGACTCCTGTGCTCTCCCCCAGAGATAAGGACAGAGGTGCAGAGAGGGTAGAGCTCTGTGAGCTCTAACTTCTGGCTAGTGAGGGAATCATCAGCATGAATAACTCCTTGCTGCAAGTCACTGCCATAGAGACAGAAGTGGGCGAAGTTGGTGACTAGATTAGTGCTAATGGGGCTGTTTCTATTTATGCTCTGTGGTTAAGAGTAAATGAAAGTCTCTTGTGGTTCCTCTCTCAGGATGATATCTGCATGCATTTGACTAATTATGCCATCAACAAACGTAATGAAAACTTCGTCCAGGATGACACGATGGGCAGTAAAAGGTATTGTCTTGTCCAGGTACCGCAATGCCCTGTGCACATCCTGCAGGAAAGCTGCATTTGGGACGCTGGTTTACTTCCACCTTTCTTGGGGCAAACATGGTATCACAGGTCAGCTCTTGCCATCTCCCTTCCTCCACACAGGAAACTGTCCACCCTGAATGCCTGGATGACAGATAACAGCTACAACACAACAAAACTCTGGGAAGATATCGAAGATATTATTATAAAGACTCTTATTTCAGCTCACCCTGTTGTGAAGCACAATTACCAAAGTTGCTTTCCGAACCACACTACTGGCTGTGCCTGCTTTGAGATACTGGGTTTTGATATTTTGCTAGACAGAAAGTTGAAGCCGTGGCTGCTAGAGGTGAGGAAGGAGTCTCCTGCTGTGCTGAAGCAACTCTGGAAGCAGCAGATGGCCGAGAGCTGGCTTGTCTGGGGAAGGCTCCAGAACAAGGGGTGGTGGGATGAACAGAACTCGTTTGATTAAAAAGGGCCACCTTGTTCACAAAATTAAACAGGCTATGAAGACAAGTAGCCAAGCAACCTGCTGTAGGCTAAGCGGGATCTAAGAGCCTGTTCCCTGTACAATCCCTCTAACAGCAGGGAGTTTCCTGAACCTTAGGACTCCTTGACCTGTAACAGCATCCTGAATTTATGATAGCTGCCCCACACCTGTAGTCCTGCGGGGTGTGGGATCTGAATGACCTGCAGTGTGGATGGGCATTACACTGCAGAAGGACAGAACCAGCCACTGCATGCAGCCTCCTGCTTTCTGTCGCTGTTACAGGGAAGAACATCCATGGAAAGTGTGCAGTGGGGCAGACCGGGGCCAGCGAGCTGGCTGCTGGCAGCGCTTTCTGGGAGCTGGGAGTTGCCAGGTTAGATTAGCTGCTTGTTTTGGCAGGTGAACCACTCTCCCAGCTTCACCACAGACTCTCGCCTAGACTGTGAGGTGAAGGATGCTCTTCTCTGTGATACCATCAACCTGATAAACGTGCATGCCTGTAACAAAAGGAAGGTGCTGGAGGAAGACAAACAGCGGGCAAAGGAACGGCTCCTCCAGGCCCATCAGCCTCTCCGTGCATCCAGGTATTGCTCTTCCCCATAGTGCCGCAGGTCCCCAGTGAGAAAAGATGGGGCACAGCAGAGCAGGATAAAACTAAGGCTGGCTGTTTCCAAATTAAAGCTCCTAGAGGCCGTGGCACTATATGGCCTCTGAGAAGAGATCTCCCAAGCCATCTGCATCCTGCAAGGAAGAGCCAGGGCTCACCTCTGGGTGCTAGGAGATCTGAGACGCCTGGTGCTCTGGGCCCTGTGCAGAGTCATCCCCATCGAGCTCCGCCTGCTTGTCACGTCCTTCAGTGCTGACGGGCAGTGCCAGCATCCCTGGGCTTGCAGTGACGCTCGCAGGACGGACGGACCACAGACAGACTGCAGCACTGCTTCAGGGACCAAGAGCACCCCGGGGCACGGGGCCTTTCTCCAGAGCAGGGTTCCTTTCCCAGGGCTGAGGGTTTCCCCCCCCTTCTCTGCATGTCCTTTCATGAGGCCATATTAGATGAGCCTGCTGCCCGGGCTTTTCCTGCCATGCAGGGCAAGGCAGGAACTCCTTCCAGCTCCCATTTCAATTACGAGACCTGAGATAACTCCGTGCTGGAGACGCTGAGCGTGTTAGCCCTGTACTCTGCCTGCCCCTGCAGCCTCAGCTGCTCCAAGCTCCCCGCTAGTGAGGAAAGCTCCCAGCAGCATGCAGGGTGGCAGATATGCCTTGAACAGGCACATTTTAACTGAACTTCTCTTGTAACTGCGTTGGTTGGGTGAAAAGGCTGAGGGGCAAGGCGTGAGCCTGGGCGGCAGGGGAGAGGTCTGGAAACGCCTCACCAGCACTCTACACACAGAGGATGAAGTAGTGCGGGTTGCGTTGGTTCCCTGCAGTGCACCCATGTGAAACAGGCTCCCAAATGGGGAAAGACGGGGGAAAGTGCTAGCTAGGCCCTTGGCCCTCAGCCAGTACAGCACCTGGAGCCTCCTAACGCAGCTCCCTGCCTGTGCTTTCTCCTGTTTGCAGACGCGAGGAGTTAGAGAGCAACCAGGCTGCCTGGCTGTCTGAAGCAGAGAAGTACGAGAACTCGCACCTGGGTGGTTACCGGCGCATTTATCCGGCATGTGGAACAGACAAGTATGAGCCATTTTTCAATCAGAGTGGCTCCCTCTTCCAGGAAACGGTGTCATCCAAAGCACGAGAGGAGTGTGCCAGGTACGCTGCTCCTGCGGAAAACCCACTCCTCACAGGGGTGGCACAGAGACTGCTTGCTTCTGATCCCTTCTTGGGAGCAACTCTGCTGCTTAACAGATGTAAGTAAGCTGGTGAGAGCTGGAAGGGAAGGAGTCTGCATGTGCTATGTCACCATAGCAAAGCAACTTCCTTTCACATCTACCCTTGAGAGGCAAATGCTATATTCCATTGACTTTTGGACTCTGGAGGCACCACGTCGCAAGTGTCCTCCATCCTTCTGGCAGGCACAGCCTAATTCAAGGGCATTTCTTACAGCGGTGAGAGTCTCTTTTAAAAGCACTCCTGGCCCATTTCTTGGCACACTTCTGTTATGGTCTATTCACTACAGAACTTCTGACTGCAGTAAAATGGCCTCGGATTGAAGGCTTCAGAATAGCCTTTTGCTATTATGGCTCTTATTGAACCAGTGACTAAGACTACTGTTCTATGGCAGGCAGCAACTGGAGGAAATTCGCCTGAAAAAAGAACAGTTGGAAGCTGTTACCAGGAAGAAGAAAACGGAGAGGAAAGAAGACCTGCATGGAGAGTCAGCTGGGGACAAATCCCAGATCCATAATAAAACCACAGCTCCTACAACCCGCCTCACCTATAGAAGCAGCAGGATGTGGGATAGAAAGGTACCTTGCTCTTGTCAGTGGTTGTCCATGGGGCTCTCAAAGGCAATAATGTGGCTCTGGGAACAGTGCTGGGCCATGGGTGTCTCCCAAGGAACAGAACTACGAGGTTTGACTCCCCTTCATGAAGTCCGGAAAGTTGACAGCTTGTGCTGGGAGGTACTTGCAAGCACCAGTGTTGTCCCTTCCCTGTTGTGGCTCCCACCGGGATCTTCGTCCCACTCCAGCCCGAAGTCTGTAATTCTGCTTACGGCTCAGAGCAGTCTGTGGCTTTGTCTCTCTTGCGCATTACTACAGCTTCAACTTTGCTGTAATTCAGGTCTTTCTTTCCTAAGGTACAGCGCATGCAGTACGACTCTATGCAACCCCAGGATATTGTGGAAGATGAGGAGAAGAAAAGAAGAAATGCTCTTCTGCAGCGTGAGAACCTTATCCGAGGCCTGGGCATCATAGATCAGCTCTCCCAGCTGCTCCCCGCAACCGATAGACCAGCCGACACCCAGAGATCCTGCACCGTTATCTCCAAGAGCCAGGTAACTGAAGATTGCCCAGATCCATCCTGCAAGGCCGACATAGGAGACAGCCATTTGCGGGAGGATCGTGAGGAATGAATCACGGGCATTGAGCACCTCTGGTGTGGCTCAGTCAAATGAGATCCAACGTAGTGTCTGGGTCCGTGGGTTTTCATACAGATACTGACTTTGTCCCTTTCCAAACGGGCGTGCTGGGGGCGTGCCAATCGGCTGCATAGAGCCCCTGAGCACCCTTCCCCAGAAGATCCCTCTCCCCGGTATTCCAAAGAACAGACCACAACGATATTGCCTTTTGGACACTGCTCGTCCCCAGCACGCAGCTTAGTGTGAGCTGCTGCTTCAGGGTGGTAGTATGATTCTCCTAGCTGAATAAAATTAATTCCTTGGTAGGCTAGGAGCACTAACGTGCTAGGAGTGTGGTAAAGGAGTGCACACAGCAAAGAGGGACTGAAGGGAAGCGTAGGGGTGTCTAAAAAAAAGTAGGTGAATTCTGCACTGCAAACAATGCCTCTCCCTAAACATCTTGCCTTCTACATTACACCATTCCCCACACGGGGAAGGTGATGAGTTAGTGCATGTGCCTAAAACCCCGTAGGGCTCAGCCCTCGGTCTGGGGCTCCCCCTTCAGAGTCATCCTCGCTCTGCAAGAGCATGCTACGGTGTAAACCCTGAGCATTGCTGCTGCCGTGTCCCAGACTGTCTCGAGGTGCGCAGCTGAAGAAAGCTGGGCTTCGCAGAGGATTGCACCAGGGGAACCGGGGTTTGGACCTAGAGTTAAAGGAGATCTGTGTGGCTGTCTCAAACTGAGTCTTGGCTGCCACGCCAATTGCCAAACCAGGATACTGGTCTAAAACCAGACGAGGAGGAAGCCTGCAGTCTGTTGTCTGTGGGCTCCCTTAGGCTACAAGGGCTGTTCTGGAGCACTGACAGTGGCTGTCACCTGCTGTGTCGGGGAAGGGCTAGTTCTGGACCTGCAATTAATGAAAAACCTTGCAAAGGCCATTGCCTCTTCCAGTGGCACCATCTGTTTCCAGAAAGGCCTCCTACTCTTGGCTGGAAGGGTGACACACCTCAGAAGGATGCTGACAAACTCAAGGCACCAGAGTTGCAGGAATTATTCAGGACCTAGGAGTCTTCTAGTACCTTACAAGAAATTGGAAATAGTCCATTTAATTTAAGAAAAGAAGTCTAAGATAGGATTTGATCTGTAAGAACTGATGGTAGCTGCCTTTTCCTCTACCAGACAAAGCAGAACAGAACCTGAAACCCAAACTCTGCCTAAAATCTGGATAATTTTTTCAGCAGCAAAGGATTATCTGGGGGTGGGTCAGATCCTTCATCGCTGAGTCTTCCCAGTCCACTCTGGCATTTCTTTCCACAAACCCTGCTCCAGCTCAGCCCGGTGTTACGGGCAGAGGACGGGGGTCTCGGCACTGCTGCAGGCAGATCAGGCAGGCAGCTGCCGTGACCCCTTAGATGATTTGAATCTGGGACGGTGACTGTGGCATGCCTGGGGGAGAAAGTGCAGGATGACGCTTTAGCAAGCGCCTGTAGATGACTAGAGAAGACTTTTCCTTCCCGTCTCTTGCCAAGGCCTCCGGAGCTTAGCTGCAGCTGCTTTCTTTCCTTCCAGCCGCAGTTTCTCTGGGAGGCGCTTGGGGGCCAGGAGGCCCACCGCTTAATGACACTCATCCCCCTTTCGCTCCTGGGAGGTCCAGTCCGGCCTTCAGGACGGCGGTTCATACACAACCCCAGAGCCAACGCTAAGCTGCCGGCCAGCCTGGGCTTGGATCCTGCCACCGCAGGCACCCTCTCGGTTCGAGGCCTGAGCATCCCTTACTGTGAGCAGCACAAGGTGCGGCAGGGCCCCGGGGCGCAGGGCAGGGGCTGGTTGCGTGGCCAGGCAGCGGGGACGGCAGCGGTTACCCAGCCCTGCACCGAACCCAAGGGGCTGCAGGTGAGAGGCCAGCGGCTCCCTGGCACCAGAAACAAGGCTGAAGGCTGTGAGTACGCATTACCTTCCTTTGGCTACGAGTGTCTGCATCATGGAGGCTCAAGTCAGTGAGCCGGAGCCATGGGCAGACGGGTGGGAGCTGTGGATGTTCCTGGGCTTGTTCCTGGGGTGGGAAGAGCGGGTGGGCTGGATGGAGCTCAGAGTCCCTGGGGCGCTCGGACCCTGCGGAGGGGATGCTGCGCTCTTCTCTGGGAACTGGTGACTGCTGGAAGTCTCTGCCCGAGGCCAGTAGCATCCCATTTGCAGGGGCAAGGAAGAAAGTGGGTGGTTTCCCAGGACCAAGGGTTGATGTGCTGGGATGGGGGAGCGTGAGAAGCCCAGATGAACTTGATAGTAGGGTCAGAAGCACAGCAGATGGGACAGCTGAAGGGGCGTGTTAGCTGTGGGAAGTACAGAGAAGACGCTCGGTGATGCAGCATTGCCCCCAGCCCCTCCCCAGGCCTTGCTCCTGCCACGCTGCTCCCAGCTGCCCATGGCCCCTCCTGCCAGCCCTGCCAGGCCCTGCCCTCGGAGCTACACCCCTGCTCCCACCACCCACACCTTCACCCAGCCCTGCCCGCCCTCCCTGGCTCCCCTGCTATCGGCTCTGGCCATTTGCAGCCTTAGGAGCACGGAAGAGCATAGGCAGAGGTGGGTCTGCCAGGGCGTCGCAGGGCTGACCACCGTCATGGAGGGCAGCAGCGGGCTGCTGACCCACAGAGCTGCCGGTGTCTGCCTGCCCCCCATGCCTGCCCGTGCTCTTCCAGGTGAAGCTGGCAGGCTGTCCTTCCGCGCAGGCAGCTGTCACCCGGGGTCCCCAGCCAGCACGGGGAAGGCCACAGGCGATGGCACCTTCAGCCCTGCTGCAGTCCGGGAACTCCCCATCGCCTCCGCCGTCCACGTGCAGCACACACATGCCACGCACCATGCCAGTGCCTCGCACGCTCGCAGCGTGAAAAGCACAGGTAACGTGGCAGAGGGTACACCTGCGCTCGGCCTTCCTCCCTGTGGGTGCTCGCCGAAGAACCACGGCTGCTGGACGGGGAGTGCTGCCCCGGCCAGGCCCGGGGCCGGTTGTCGGTGTCCCCTGACCGGAGTCTGGGCCCCAGCACGGGTCCCGCTGCACACCCCGGGCAGCAGGGACGCCCTGCCGCAGGCAGCTTTACCTCTGCCAGGCCGCAGGCTGGCGCTTGCACCCCTGCCTGCACCCCCCTCGGCAGCAGCCGCGTCCCCGAGAGGCTGCCCCCCTCCCTCCCCCCC